GAGTTATACAGGCCCGGGATTGCAATCCTCTCCCCTACTCTGCTTATGATCGACGCGCGCTCGCCTTTGCTGCCGGGTAGACGACGGCTTTATCGAGATGGATTCCGTCTCTTGCTCCGGGGGTCGGCCGCGGGGGACACGACAAGCCCGACCTGCCGCCTTGAGTCGCGGCAGCAGCAGCACGTGATGGATCGGCTCACAGAGCACACCGCACACAGTGACGCGCGCGCGCGCCCCGTTTTTCCTGGTATCGAACGTATGGCTGCCTGTCGTGGAGCCCCAAACTGTAAACATGACCATCTGCCGCGGTCGGGGGGCGGCGCGGCGTCAGGCAGCAGCAGGGGCCCGCCTGAGGTGTGAGCCGCGCCCCAAAGGCGAGGGGGCGGCACGGCGGCCCGAAGGTTTGTTTTGTTGAGGCTGGGCGTGGCGGGGCGTGGCGTGGCGGGGCGGGCCGGGAAGGCGCGCTACCGGAAACAGTTGCATAAAGTAGACACGCGCAAGCCTTTGCGCCGTAGCCTCGACCAGAGTCCCCAGGGTCGCGACCGCCTCCCCCAAGTCACGAAGCCTTTAGCCTTTCCTCCTCCTCCTCCTCCTCGTCGCAGTGCTCGCGCCTCGGCGGGCGTGGGAGAGCGAGGGGAGATGAGCCTCTCGCGGGAGGGAAACGCGGAACGGCCGGCAAAACTTGCCCGCTCTCCATCCCCCGTGAGGCAGCAGAAGCCGACGGGGGGAGCGAGCAGCGGCAGCAACGCTTTCGTGGAACGGGGAACATACCGCCCCCCACACGATAGCCAGAAAGGCCGGTCGGAAATATATTATTTCCCCCTTGAAAAGTTCGGGCTGCACTCGCTCACTGCTCGCCTGTGCCCCCCCCCCCCCTGCTCTCCGTTCCGTGCCGGGGGCACCGCGAGCCCAGGCCAGGCGCAGGCCATGTGGATGTGGCTGCGATCATTATCCGTCCATTCGTTCGTCTGTTTGTTTGTTTCCCTCGCATGGTCCGCTATGGGATGGGAGAGGCTGTGTGGACAGTACACTGGACAGCTGGGCGGCAGTGACAGTGACCACGACCCGAACCACGCACGCTGTCTCTTCTCTCTCTCTGTCAGCCCCCCCCCCCCCTCTCTCTCTCTCTCCAATCGCTCAGCCAAGTTGGGACTGAGAGGGGGGGGGCGATAGGGAGATAAGCGGGGGGTGAACGCAGCGGCCGAGAAATCGAAAGGATCCAAAGGGTCGGCGGCGGGGCGGGCGGGCGAGCGCGGAGGACAAATTTAGAGCGGGGGAGTAACGCCGCAGCCTCCCGACAGCCTCGGGGCGTGGGGCGCGCGCTGGACCAATAAGCCCGCGGGGCGCCATAAACAAAAATGTATTCATGAAAAAAATAAAATAAAAAGGGAGCGCGCCTACAACAACGTGATGCTCGGATTTGAGGCGACTCCCTCGATAGTAGGAGCCTGCTTTGCCATTGAAAGGTGGTGGTTTTAAAATGCAAACGGAACTCACACACCAACCACGTGGGTGTATGAGAGTTACTTACGGCTGCCATGCACTGTCACTGTCACACTGCTGCTGCGCTCTCTCACTCTCGCCGTCGTAACAAACGACCTCTAATGAGTCTGCGTTAAAGCGGCCTGCCGATTTGCAAGGCGCTTCTCCTACGCAATTTCTTTCTTCCCCTCCTCCCGCCTCTTTTGTCCCGCCAAATGCTTTGGCGTTTCGCGCTCCGCCTGGCCCGCCGACGCCGGCCGCCGCTGCTATGCGGCCCGCGCTGAAAGTAATGTTAAGACCCCACTCCCCTCTGTGTCTGTGTGTGTACGTGTGTGTGAGAGAGAGTGTGAGTGAGGGAGACAGCGCGCAAATAATCTGCCTCTGCTGTCATTTCACACCGATGCACCATCGTGTGCTGGGTCTGGCAGCGGCAGGGGGCCTTAATTAAAAAGCCCACGCCCCAACGCTGCACCGGGGTGTCCTATTGCGGCCTATTATGATTGGGCAACATTTTCCAACCCTATCCCCCACCTCCCCTCCCTTCACCCCACCCCGCCAGGCTGAGCGGCGCCAGCTGGACCGCGGCTGACTGAACGCGTCGGGATCGGCACCTGTCAGGCTCGCGTCTGCGGCTGACAGTCAGCGTCCGACAGACCGCCGCGCCAGGCCTGGCCCTGGCCGTCGCGGTGGCGTCACGGCCTGCGCGAGCCCTCTCTGACGGGGCGGCCGCGCCTCCCCTCCCGGGGGAAAGAAAGGAAAGAAAGAAAAAAGAACGCAAACAACGTCCGCGACGGGGGAAACGGGCTGGGTGGAGAAAAGTCACTCCTTTACCAATACTTGAGAGATTTGTCGTCCGCGCGAGGGCGAGGAGAGTATGTAGACTGACGGCCTCCTTTGTGTGCTCCCCTTCTGCCACACGTGTCGATGACGCACTCCTCTACAGCTGCGCCGTGTCTCTCTGTTGCAGAAGAAGCCGCAGCCTCCCCTGCCGGTGCAGCCGCAGCCGCTGCAGCAGCTGCATCCCCACATGGAGTGCGGCATCGCCGGGTCGCTGGCGGGCTCCCACGGCTCGCCCGCGCCCTCGCCGCTGCTCAGCGCGGGCGCCATGGGCGGCGCCATGGACAGCCGGTCGCGGCCGGAGCGCTCGCCGGCCAAGCACGGCCTGCACGTCAACTTCACCGAGAAGGTGGAGGTCAAGGAGAGGAGGGAGAAGTTCCTCACGGCCAAGTACGGCTCGCACCAGATGGCGCTCATCCGGAAGAGGCTCGCCGTCGAGATGTGGCTGTACGACGAGCTGCAGAAGCTCTACGAGTCCACGGTGAGTACAAGGGGACGAGCACGACGACGACGACGACGACGACGCACACGACACGACACGAGGGGGACGCCGCCGAGGCCGCGACATGCCCTTGAGGACGCCGCGCCGAGTCGCCTCCGGAGAGAAAGAAGACGTCCGCCCGGCGTGCCGTGGGCGGGCGGCGGGCGGGGGCGGGCGCGCAGACGGATAGGCGCTCGACGGGCACGGCAACAATGAAGACGGGGCGGGCAAGGGCGGCGGGGCCGGGTGGGGCGTTCTCAGCGAAAGGTCACGGCGTGACCTGGTGGGCCTCGGGCATGGACGGCAGGCCTGACATGGTCCGACCGGACACTGCTCCCGTCCCGTCCGCAGGTTGACAACAGCCCGGCGGCCGGCGTCCCTCGAGTCCCCCAGGGAGGCGCGCAACCTGTCATCGAGCGCACGCAGACCACTATGGCCGCGTGGCCCACTTTAATTAATCACCAAACACAAAAGGCTCGCGCTGCGGCGACGACGGGAGGTTTAAGAGCTCCACTCAGCCCACCGCCGGCTCGGCTCGGCTCGACGGCTGGTGCGGCGAAAGCGCGAAAGCTTCCGCGGGCGCGGCGCGGGGGCGGGCGCGAGAGCCGGGCGGAGTGAGAGTGGTCTAGATCCCGCGTCGTGTTTGTCCCCGAGGCTGGCCCCAGCCGGGTCCCAGCAGCGCGGCCGGGTCCCAGCGCTAGTAAACCTTTAGGCGGATCGGCAGCACGGTACGGGGCCGGGCCGGGCCTGGCGCGGCGGTCCCATAGGTCGGCCGTGGGAGTCGAGTCAGTAGGTCCGCGGGCCGGGCCGGGCCGGCTCAGCCCAGCCGTGCTGTTCCTGCCCATATCGCCCGCAGCCCTTCCTGCGTTAGCTGCTCCGACTCGTCCTCCACCCGTGAAAAAAAAAAAAATTGCGATGGGGAAAAAAATCGATAAAGAGGACCAGAGGACGGGCGGACGCACGGTCGACGGCGGCGCCGCTCTTCATCACTCTATATCGATAACGGGTCCTGCCGACTATACAACAATATTATTCTTGTTTTTTCATCCGTCCCCCTTGCACGTCAACCCTTTTGTGCCTCGGTGATGGGTCGCTCGGCCGGCACGCCAGACGTCGCGCGGCTCTCCACTCGGCTGGAGTAGGTCGCCGCCCGCCCGGCCCCCTCCCGCGCCCCTGTCGTCATCTGCCATTCATAGCGCCCTGCCCTCCCTAAGGCCAACAGCAGCCCCGTCCGCACCGCGACCCCTCGCATGCGGGGGCAGGCGGCCCCCTCCGGGGACGCGGGGGCACAGGGGGCGCGGGGTGGTACGGACTGGCAGGGGTGAGTGCGGACCATACCCTTGCAAAAGTGTTAGTAAAACCATCTGGATTAATGACGGTCACTACAGGCAACGACCATAAATTTCAAATTCAATAGCACATCCTTCGCAGATAATCAAAAAAAGTCGCCATCAGGCAATATTCCGACACTATAAACGGGGGCAACCTATATCCTATCCGATGCGCAACGTCGTGGAACTCGGTCACACACCTGCAGGTGGCCCAGGTGGCCCAGCAGGCGCACGGGGTGGGGGCGGGTAGGTGAGTCGAGATAATTCATTTACGATGAGCCGTCGGAAAGGCCCCGCGCGCCGGCCGTGCCCCACAACAACGGCGCGTTTCCTGGCCCGGCCCCGCCCCGCCCGGGCGGAAGGATTCGTGATTACACTCGCATGGAGGACATAACCTAGTTTCGGCTTGTTCTCTTCATTCCTCGAAACGTTTCTGTCTTTTATTTCGGGACTGTTTTTGTCGCCCGTGTGTGATCCCGCGCCGCGTCCCCCGTCGTCGGCATGTCTCACACAGGAGGGCGCGGCGCTCTCTGGGTCACGGGGGCTCTGGTCCCCCCCCC